ATAAACATGAGCACTTTATAATGTTACAAAAGATTTCTATTTCAGATAAATGCTGTTCTTCTGAACTTTCTATTCATCAAAGAAACCTGAAAAAAATCTACTCTGCTGTTTTCAGCATCATAAATGTTTTTTGAGCAGCAAATCAGAATATTAGAATGATTTCTGAAGGATCATGTGACTGGAGTAATGATGCTAAAGCTCTGCTTTGAAATCACAGGAATAAATTATATTTTCAAATAGAAAAGTTATTTTAAATAGTAAAAATATTTCAAAATGTTACTGTTTTTGCTGTATTTTGGATCAAATAAATGCAGGCTTGGTGAGCAGAAGAGAATTCTTTAAAAATCTTACTGTTCAAAAACTTTTGACTGGTATGTTAGCCTATAGTTTGAAGTAAAAAATATTAATAAGGAGAGTCTGAGATTTATTTGACAGATTTCACATTTCTTGTTTGTATGAAGGCTAAATGCCAATAAAAGGTGAACATGTATTTATTTGCACCATTTTTTTTACATTAATAATTATATAAATATTATACAAATAAATTTTTCATAAGTTTGTAGGTACAGACATCTGTTGTGGCCATTCTTGGCCGTTTTTATTAGGCTTTTTAATAGTGTTCATATCGATATCGGAATTATATCATATAGACCGAAATTAAGAAATATATCGTCATATAAATTTTGGCCATATTGTCCAGCCCTATGCAGTCTATTTAAAAGTGTTTATCTAATTTGAATGAATTATTAAACATTTTATGTATTTAAAAAAATAATATATTTAATACAGCAAATTTTTTATATAAAAATTATGAAAAAGTGGTTTGAATTAATGATTCGGTGACTTATAATTGGAGGTAGTGGACGACCGATATATCGCCATTTTTTTAAAAAAGTTTTCCTGTTTGGCCGATGCGTTCAAGGCGGGACTTTTATTTTGACTGTGCTGACAGCGGCTGCGCCTGAGCACAGTGCTCACATTCTCCCTCTTGTTCGCCGTCATCGTTAACAGTTCCTCTGCATGACGGTCGATCCGTGTGAATTGAATGCGGACAGGTGGAGAGTTCAGCTTCACTGGAGACGCACGATTGACAAACTTTAAACTCGTGATTTAAAATTATGCTGCGCTTCATGCATTTGCCCACTGCCATATTCATGTCATTTCCACTGTGTGCTGTATGTAAAATGAGTGTTACCTTGGCTTTATTTGAAAAAATATGATTCCCAAATCCCAATGCACACAAACTTCCCAGAATACTGAGTGCCCTGTTGGTTACAGTGTTTACTTCCCTTTTTTTATTATATTATTTATTAAATATTTATTTATTTGTGAACAATACTTTGTCATCTAAAGTATAACTATGTTTAACACATTTACTTTTTAATCCATTTTCAAATTATTTAAAGTTTCTTAAACATTAATTAAAATAAAATTATATATCGGCTTTATATCAATATATATAATATCAGCTGATTTTTGGCATTTTTTAATTAATCGGCATTGGCCGATTGTGCTGCAAATTAGGCAGATTTATAGGCAGGCGCATCTGCGGGCAGCTAAGTTGCGGGTGTTTTTATATGAATGTATCTTTGAAAAGAATCGACCGTCTGCAGAAAAGCTTCAATGTCATTTTCATTTCGTCTTTACTGTAATGCCTGATAAAGTAGCATTTGTGAGCACAGTGTTTATTTGATTACAGCCCTTACCGGAGAAGCCACTATATATTTCCGCTCCAACAGCACCTCCTGCTGGCAGAGAATTAATCTGCCGTCTGTGGTCAGCAAACATAAACAAAAATCATGCTTCAGAACTGTTTTGAGAAGGTGCTTAAGTTTTGAGCGATGTATTACTACTCTGAATTAGGCTACTACTACTATTACTATCTTGTACCCTGCAATAATAATTTACTCAAACTCACTTTTATGAGATGAGGGGAGAAAATTGGCATCATATATCGGCCATCGGCTGCCCTGATTTCTAAATATCCGCATCGGCCAGTGAAAACCCATATTGGTCAACCTCTTCTTATAATACTTCACTTACTGGATGAATCCAGTTTTTGAACAAATCTCTTGAATGAATGATTCAATGACAAAAATTTTTTTTTTTTTTACAGTCAGTCAATTTAACAATGCAATCGACAAACGTTATTTGAAGCGCCAGTTACTTTCAAAAGCAGATTTGATCTTTTGAATTTTCATCTCTGTATTTTTGTGATAATATGAATGAATGCAAGACAGAAATAATACTGTGTAGTTGAAAAGGGAAGCGGTTTCTTTCCTAAATGTGGTAAATATCTGCTCTCTTGTGTAGGGCTGGGTATCGTTCAAAAATGTTCGATATCGATACCGATACCTTGACTTCGATACCGGTTCCTGAACGATACTTTTTTCGATACCAATTTTATGAAATCAATTTTAACAAGATTACATAAAAAAAAAAAAAAACTTTGGTTTTATTTTTCAGCTTGTTGATGTTTATACAAACATCATCTCCTGAGCCATTGCACAAAGGAACAAAATGTAACCAACACAATAAATCAGTGCAAATAGTTTTAATAAAGCTCAAATAGTCTTCAGTTTAAACATCTGTTAGGCTACATTTACACTAGTTAGTGTTCGTTTTAAAACGCAGCTCAGACAGAATCATTATTTATTTTCCACTGATTTACTGATGAGCATTATTAACTTATGAACGATATGATCGGAACTCCAAGCAGCTCCCGCGCTACTCTCATTGGAAATGAATGACCGGTCTGTGCTTGGAGATAGTGGAAAGCCAGCTTGAAACGCAGTGGAAACGCCAGTATGACGAGGATCATTTTCATTTTAAAACTTAAACGCACCAGTGTAAATGTTGACTTATATCTAAGGGGGCTGGGACGCATTAGCACTACAGCCTCACGTGTGCGCCACATCTCTGAGTGTAACCTGTGTAAACTAGTAGGTGTGTTCGACTTGATGCGGACCGACTGTGCAGACCGATCGGTGTATTACAGTACCACGAGAGCTAAAGAGAGCAGACTGCTCCGTGCGCTTTCGAATCGCTCTCGCGGATGTCAAACACTGATCGATCTGCGCCGCACCTCTTCTAGTCGAACACACCGACTAGTGCTGCAGGCTTAAGGCCAAAGTATACTTCGGCCGTCCGTGTCCACATTATGTAATTTTTGTCATCAGGAGGGCCAGCGTACAACAGCACGTGCGCTAGGTAAAAGTTGAGACAGAGCGCAAGTCAAACTGCGCCTGAGTTGAGCTCATCCGTCTGCACTCATCCGCGGTTGAGTATACTTTGAAAGCTGTGTGCGCACGGCTGAGCGCGAGACGGAACGGAACGCGGAGAGTGAAGTATACCCGGGCCTTTATTGGCTCACTGACGCTGATGAGATTAACCCCTTAGGTATCGAAATTTGGTACTGAACGACGAGACGTTTTTCGATACTCTATGGTATCGAGGCAATTCGGTCGGTGCCTAAAAAGTATCGAACTCAATAACCTGCCCTACTCTTGTGTCAGTGGCAGCGTGAACACAGATTTAAATGTTCCGGTATGATTTTTTTCAAAATGGACACATTGAATTGTTGTCGTTTAAAAATGGGATCGCATGGGTGTTTGAATTGAGACTGATCTTTTAACGATTAATCGTGCAGCTCTATTATATCACATATCACATGTACTCCTTTATATATTTTTTTCTTTCCCTGCAGGCCTCTGCTGATGATGATGCTGCTGGGGATCACCACTTCCGTAAACCAGCTAATGACATTACATCCCAGCTGGAGATTAACTTTGGGGACCTGGGCCGCACAGGACGTGGTCGTGGAGGACCACGAGGTGGCAGAGGAGGCCGTGGAGCTGTTGCTGCTGCTGCTGCTACCAGGCCACCTCGCGAACGCAGGCCAGACAAGGTGCAGTCTCTTTGTGCATTTCCTCTGCAGGTGTGCATATATATATATATATATATATATATATATATACAGTGGG